TTTTTTTTTCTATAAATTTTATTGAAATGTCACGACATCTTTTTATTCGAAGAAAAAAGAAAAAGAAAAGCAGAACTGAAGGTTGAAGGTCGAAAATCCTTGATTACTTTGCATCAAAACTTAATTCAATAGATATACGTATGAAAATTAGATAATTGCGAAACTTTATAACTATAGCCAGGTTCTAAATAAATAACCTTAGCAGTTATAAATAAATGGTAAAATCGACGAATACAACCTTATTGGACCTTATTATACAACATTTCATCATACCTCAAACTCCGGAATATCGTTCAAACGGCACAATTCGTCCCAGGATTTCGAAGGTAGCCATTCCGTGGGATTTGCGAAAGGGTTCTCAAGCCCGACGCCGCCGGTCAACAGGAACATCCATTGAGGCATCGAAAGTTGTCCCTGCTTATTCAGCAGGTTTACCGAAAGCAACAGCGAGAATAAAAGCTTGTCCTTTTCGAACAACGACCGACATATGTTTACGTAGAGAGAATACGTAAAGTGTTTCGTGAGGTCCTTCAATCGTTGCTGAATGTCTTCGACCGGTTCGGTGTTTTCGATCGTGTTACTGAACAGATTTACGAACCAGATCAAAGAGTACTGATACATCGGGTCGATATTCGTCAGGACAGCTGGAGAAAACAGTTCGATTAATCCAATCTTCTTTCGAAATTTAAAAATACATCGAGATTAATCGTGTACCGATCGTGAAGAAAAGAACGGTGCTGTATGCAGCTATGGGCGTGTACTCCAATCTCGCGACGTCGATGGACTTCTCCGTGATTTCAGCTGCCGTTTGTTTCGCGACGATCTCGTCGGAAAGAGCCTTGGACGAACTAAGCACGCTGATCGCTGTTTCGTCCTCGAGAATATTCCCCTCTGCCGTCGACAGGACCTCCAGAATTTCGTCTTCGATCTCCTTCAGTTTCCTACGGAACAAGATCGTTTGACGAACGTCGAAGAGACGCAGTAAAACGCTGATATTTACTTCTTGTTGGCAGCTCCTTGGATAATTAGCTGGTTCTTCTCAGACTCCAAATCTGGCTTTTCTTTGGCCACCACGATACCGAGCAGCTGATCTTCCAGGCCTATCGGCGTGATCATGAAATTCAACAATGTTACTTTCACCGCTACTTCCGGCAAATAATGAGGATTACGCAGTTTAGTTGTGATGTAAAATCTGCAAATGATCGCGAATGACTTTATCTTACAACTACTCTTGACAACAAGTGGATTCATTTGGAACGAGGCCTACCGAAAATTGGGAGAGTACTCGATAATGGAATCTCCAATCTTGATACACTCGGTGCCACCAGACTTGAAAGTTTGTTTCATCAGAAGCGATTCTAGAGCAGCGTCAAGCTCCTCGCCCACATTCTCCAACAGAACCGGCTGCCCAAATTGAACAGCATTTTCCAAAACCCTCATATAATCAACCTGCGACAATCTGATCACGTGAATATTATTTTCCTTCTCCATGTTCTTCACCCATTTGTTCGCCTGGCCTTGAGGATCGATCATCAGCGGCCATCGTCGAGAATTTGTGACGATAATCGCGTTGTCTATCGAGAACAAATCGCTGGGCAACCCGAAGATATTCCAAGAGCGTATCGACACAGGATCACCCAGAATCTGAGTCAGTTGATAGTCCTTCGTGCAGACCACTTTCAAATCAGTACAGATCTGCACCCATTTGTCGATCTGTTGCTGTCTATACTGAGTGGTGAACACCCCCAAATAGGCCACGATCCCAGAACCGATGAGAATATCGCCTGTCAGTTTGTAATAACGTTCGCCCAGTTCCTTTGCCGTATCCGACCATCTGGTGTATTCTCCCCCTAAGCCGCCAATCAGCTCCCTGGCCCTCCTTAATCTCGTCTCGCACTCGTACACCTCGTCCGTCATCGCCTGATACTCGGCTCTTCGTTCAGCCAGAAGCTTCTCCAGCCCCGCCAGCCTGTCACGAACCTCTTGGAGTTGACTTCTCTTCAAGTTCAATTGCGTCATCGCCTCCTTGTAGTCGGCTTCTGCCACAGCCAGGGCTTGCTTCTTCGGCGCAACGATCTTCGCCACCTTGTCGTATTCTGATAGAGCGAACACCCATCTGCAGAGGCCTTCGCAGGCGGTGGAAACGAATTTGATCCTCTCTGGATCGAAGTTCGGATTCGTCAGGATGGTGGTGCGGATTTTCGTCATGATCCTTTCCGGAATGTTGTCCTTGTCGTATATCAACAGAGACTCGAGGAACCTCATGTCGCTCAACAAACGGAGAGACGGTTTCCAATAATCGTCGACAATTCCATCCGGAGTTTTAACCTTCTCCGGCTTCACGTCCTAATAGGATGGGATTTATGTACATCATGTTTTTATTCTTTTGATAAGCCAGGCTCGCGTAAGTACTACAGCCTTTGTTGGAGGCTGAATTTGAAGCCTGTTGAAGTTGAAGATCAAACCTTTAGAATGCAAACTGCCTCCATCACCAGCCGAACGCCGGCTGGCGGTCGTTTCATGGATCGCACGATTTGAATATCCTGAGGAGTCAGAGTGTTCAAGGCATCGTTCGCCGCGTTTAATATCGGCATCACTTCTTGCAGATCGGCGTCGCATTCTGCGCGGATGGCGTTCGCCTCGCTCGCGACGACCTACAAATTGAAATTTTAATTTTTAAAAAATGCAAAAATGCCTAAGACCAAGGATTTCGTGTTATCTTATCTTATACACTCGGAACTTATAAAAGGAAACTTATAAAAAGGCACGAAATTACAACATTTTTAATATCGATGTATTAAGAAGCCATTGGTATGTCAAAATATTCAAATAATTTTACCGAACTGGAAGATAATATAAATTTATTTTCAGTATGATATTTCACAGAGAACCGTTTATTCTTCGTGAATAATTGTCGAAAAAGAGAGATGCATAGAAGGAAACAATCGTTGGTATTTATTTTATGACTCTGTCACTTCCTTCGCTATTAATACAAAAATCGGACGTTACAATTTTTCTAATGTATTTCAAATGTAACTAATGTAGCTTTGCATGTGCACGTATTCGACACACTGTAAAACATACGACGAACTACAGACATTCACGTATCTCAGAGGTACGCACACTTGCTTCATTCCTCGCAATTTTCATACCTCGGAATCTCATTAATATCGAGGTAACATAGAGATACATAAGGAAAGGAATGTCAGGAGGAGTAATTAGAAACCGTGAAGAAACGGTGGAGTAGCGTTTGCAAGGCTGAAGCTTCCTAAATAAAATCGAGTGACTGTGATCTTTAGGCCGGCAACACCTTACCATGGCGGCCTCTTCGTCCCTCTTGACGACTCGCTCCATGGCAGCCACCTCGTCACTTTCCCTTTGAACGTCAAGAAACATGGCCTCCACGTCCTTGGCTGCGACGAGCAACTTCGGTTGTAGCGCAACTAAAATCTCCTGCATCTTCTCCACTTGCCTGTGAGTACTGTCCAATCTTTCCAACCCTGCCTCGTACCTTCTTTTACCATCGAGCGCCTCCTTCCTCTTCTTCGCCAGCAGGTCCTTGAATGTGTTGATGAGCTCCAGATACGAAGTGGGCGTAACGTAGTTGTACCTCTTCAACTTTCTCAGGAACTCCTTCGACAATTCCTGCGTGGACGTGTGAAAGTACTGGCACATCTCGATACAGGCGGAACGTTCCATCTTCGTCAGATCGATCTCGTCCAGGAACTTGGTCGCCACAGCGAGCAACGCGTCCTCCGGCCAAGGCTGCAGCCAGTCTATCGTGCAACAGTTCACCAACGCCGGGAATTTTCGAACTCTCGTACGGAAATTGTCACCGATCGGTGACATAGTGACCACGATGTGCAAGTGTTCACGAACAGTCTGCACGAAGAAATTGAACAACGCCACGGGGCTTCCATCCGTTTGCAAGGATCTGTCTCTTTGGCGATCGATCACCCGCATCTTGTCGCAAATATCGGATACCTCGTCGGCCGCGAATATGTTAGGAACCTCGCCGGAATTCAATAAATTGCTGATATCTTCTAAAAACGTCTCCTCTTTAATCTGTGTGTCCAGAAATAGGAAAACCGTGTGCAGGTCGCTGGCCGCGCTTTTCCTTAAAATCTCTTTCACGTCTTCGTGCCATTCGTAGCAACCGTATTGCTGGGACATCTCCACTTGGAACAGCTCGTAATCCGCGATGTGAGCCGCCAATTTTGTCAACGACTGGCGGCCTGAACCACCCACGCCGATTAATAGTGCGTGACTTCGAGGCTGCATCATTATACGATAGATCTTTGATAAGTGTTCTACGGCGAATCTAAGGAGGACAAAACGCTGAATTAAACGAGTTCATCTTTAGTCTTAGTTTTTACGGTTTCTATTATTTTCCACATTTATGAAGTGAAAAAAGATGAAATAATTCAACTGTTTCATTAACAAATAACAATAAGTTTGCAATCTAAGTATATGTTTTTCAATCAATGTATTACGCGTCGAATAATATGTAAAGTTCAAACCTGAAAAGAACGAGATTCATCGGTGTCCTCGAAATCGTGTTATATTCCACGAGATATTCTTCAGCCACTATCGCCAAATAGTCTAAATCTGCAACCTCGATATATTGTTTCTTGTCCGCCAGTGGATCTTGAAAGTCGCAGTACACCAGATTTCGAAGCTCTGTTTCTGTTATCTAATGTTAATGTAACGATTAAGAAAAAAAAAAGAAAAAAACGGGGAAAATAATATTCGAAACATGCGTGCATTAAAGAAGAACATACTGTGTTAGCACGAGCGTGTGTGAGTAAATCTTGAAACAGATCGTCCAGATTGTCGTCCATATATTCTGACATGGTTCGTCGTATTTGCTCGACAAGCCATTTAATATCATTGTCGTCTACCAACCGATCACCATAAACGCGCAGCACTTCGTGTACCCAGAGTCGTTTTAAACTTCGCTTGAAACGTAATGCCATTATGGTTTTCATTTCACATATACATATCTCCGCCATAATTGATAATACGAAACAAAGAAATTTGTCTTATATAATATCCAAGGTTGAATTCGATTTGTAACTCACAGCATCTTAATTACGAAACTACATATATAATACGCATAATGTTGCTTATTTATTACAAAGAATTTTTAGAGAATTGTAATTCTTCGAAATAAGCATATGTGCAAGTGCGCAGGATGTCCTGCAATTTTGTCAGTAAATTCAACAAATAAACATAAGAAGAATATCGCATATTATTGTCTAATTTCTTCACTCGCGATATTGATTCTCACTACATTTTTATATCATTTATCTTTCAAATTTCTATTTTCTACTTATGAATTTTTATTCTAGTTTTATCTACAAAATAATCTGAATATTTTTGCACGAAGAATTACAGGATTTAAACTTCGTAATAAATATTATAAAATCATTCTTTTACGAAACAGAATAAAATTTCTTAGGCAACATTTGGATACTTACAGGTTCCGCGACAGTTTCAGGCGTGCAGAGCAACACACCTTGGATCACTCTGGAGAAATCTCGCAGGTTGAACAAATAATGACATTTGGCCGGTGTCGGTAGAAGATGCTTCCTAGTTTCTTTATAAACGTCCAAAGTCCCGCTCACGATGTAATCAACGCTAGGGAAGTAAAAATCCGGGAATTCTTTGTTCTTGAAGTGCCAGGACACGATGGTGGTGAAAATGGTGTTGAGAACATCGTCGGAGAACTCGGAAATCCCTAGCGTGAAGAAGTGTCTTTTGAACCGTGGCGTAACGTCAAGTCCGCTCGCTGGGGGGCTCATCGCGCAAACCAACTGAACGTCAACCAGACGTATGGGTACCACCTCCTTCACATCGTACCACGTCCAATGGTCCAGCCACTGTCTCAACAACTCTATGGGTGGTTGTGCACCGTACTCTTCCTTCTGTGGCATAGAGACGTCATCCACGAATATCACCCAATGCTTTCCTGGCGGCGCGCCGTACAACCCTTTCTTTCGTCTGTCCAATTTGTTCATGATGATCTCTTGGGTTTGGTTGGCGGTAGTTTGAGCGGAGAATATTACGAAAAGTGGCTTGAAGATTTCTGGATCGTTTCTCTTTAATAAAAAGTCCATGACGTACACGGACTTCCCGGTACCAGTTGGACCGACAAGAAGCACAGGTTTGTGGTGACAGATCAACAGTTTGAACAGATGAAAGTAACGAACAGTTTCGATCGTTGGCACGATTATTTGATTAACCGGCAGGTCTTTCGGTATTGCCGGAGCATCTTGAAGATCTTCCATCCACGGCCTCCATTTGCCTCTACCCTCTTTGATGTATTTATAATCGAACACCAAACCTGTCATTGGCAAATTTACCACGTACGGTTTCGACGGATCGGTCGTTTCTTCAGAGACGTTGAAGCGTTCTCTGACATCGACGGGAAATTCTCTCTCTGTTAATGCTCTAAAAAGATCGCTGAACCATTCGCGAGAGTCTACCATCAACGTCCCGCCCATCGCCCAAATACAAGAAAAGAAGAAACAACCCTGAAACACCGTTGACACTCGTCAGTTTCTTTTGGTTTCTTCGATAGCAAAAGACTTTGGAACGTGAATATTTTACGCACCTCCACTTGTGCCCTTATATCTAGATCCGACAAAGTCTGAAGATACTTCTCGTCGTGATAATCATCAAGGAAACAATCGAACAAATATGTCACGGACCTAACAATGTTGGCGTCTGGCATTGTTATTAATTCCTGCGGCAAGAATCGTAGAAACGGAGAAATAAAAAAGAATGTAAAACAGAGTGATTTATTCAATTAGGTCAAGACCTAATTTATTCGAATTAATTTACGAGTGACTTAAACCTTGACTCCCCAACGAAGTAGATGCAAAAGTGGAGGGCAAAACCTCATGTACATCTCGTGCAAGTGGTTCTTAAGGTGTTCCGTGAAAGATGATGGTAAAGTATTTAACCACGAGAGCAAAATTGGCTTCCAGCCTAAACTGACTGGCTCCATGTAAATCATACCGCATCTTGACACCGTGGCAGGCGACGCGACCTAAATTGATCATAATAATTAGAGCACGAACTCATGAAATTTTTATGAAATTTTTATGACTAAGGAAATAAGAAGAATTTAGTTAAAGCAAGATTTAGAGAATTATATAGCAACTACCATGTAATTATTCGTTTCTTTTATTTATGTTTATTCCCGTAAAAACAACAGAATATAATTATATAGTAGATTTGGATCAAAGAATTATATAGAAGCTCCTGTACAATTATTCGTTAATACGTTTATATTTACCGTCATAAAGAGAACAGAATAAGAATTATAGTAGACTACCTCCAAGTCCATAGGTTCGAAAATTAAGTTCGTAGTAGGCGCCAGTTGGATAATTTCCCCGGAGGTCAGGCAAAGCTTTTTATTGTCATCCAAGACAGTATTCATATTCTCGATCCACAGGGCGTCGACCGGCCCGTCGAAGACTAACCATTTTCTATTCAGGTTGGTGGAAGTCGCGAAAGCTCTGTAACTGACAGCGAGCACGCCGTCGCTCCATTCGTGCGATGCCGGGTCGAACTGGCCGTATAATTGACCCATGGTGATTGCCTTTGGATTGATAACCGTTATCTCCACTCTGTGCTCGTCCATTAGCTTCCGATCCTCCAACAAACTAAGACAATCGGCCAACATCCTATAAGCCGAAGTTTTCCCTCCAAACGGCAGGCCAACGATCATGAAACCGTGTCTGACAATCATCATCTCGTAGATCTGGTGCATCTTCTCCAAAAAGAAATCGGTGCACTGGATGTTAGCAGCAGCACACGCATCCATCGCACAGGCATTTATGTGAGTATAGTCCGGCGGTGGAAGAACGACTCCGGGGAACAAGTCTGAAGCGATGCCCTCGAACAGAGGCAGATCTTGAACCAAAAATTTCGGCAAATTGACGTCCAATATGCTTCTTAACATAAGGATATCTTCAGACTCTTCGGGATACCTGAAGAGGGATCGTAACAATTGAAACGTAAATTTAGAAAGTTATGGTATTAAAGAAATCAGTTAAAATATTTTTGGTTACTTCCGATCATTGTCAATTTTTATTAATTTTTATTACTAGGCATCGAAGAAATTTTCTTCCATTAGTATTAAAAATTTTTATAGCTTCCTTCTAAAAACTAATATAATGGTGATCGGTAACTAAAAGTCGGTTGTCAGTCACTGTTCTCTACTTAAATAAAAATCAACTTCGTTTCGTGAAAGTTTTAAAAAAATTATTGTTCGATACCTGAGCTTCAAGTTTCCAGCCGCAATGAGGACAGACTTGACCGCCCTCATACCATAATCGTAATGATGCTGGTTGCTCAGCTGCTCGGAGCACAGCCTGTAAGCTGTGACGATTTTTACAGCCAACGGTCTACCGTTATAAAAGCCATAAGAGTATAGCGTGTTCTCCGCGATCAATGCGTAATCCGGTACCATCATGGCCACAGGTCGGAATAATGCTTTCAGATTGTCCGGTAGCTCGGACCTTCCCGCGTAACCTGGATTCATAGTGATGAAAATGGCGCACGTTGGATCTAAGAAGATCTCCGTGCCCTCGAACACGATCTTCTCGGCGCCGCTGTTTATCGCTCGCTGAATCGTTAAAATTTGCTGCGCAACTACCGACAAGACTTCCAGATCGATTCGATTGAATTCGTCGAAGCAAGACCAGGCGCCGCAGGAAGCTAATCCTTTGAAGAATTTCCCTAACGCAAGGTAATCGAGACCCTCGGAACAATTGAAGACCACGCATTGCTTTGCCATCGCCTTGGCAAGGTCTTTCGTCGTTTCTGTTTTACCAGTCCCTGCTGGCCCCTCTGGTGCACCGCCTAGGTTCAGGCTCAGAGCACCGAATAGCGTTCGATAGCATCTGTCTGTTAGAGGAGTGATCACTAGCCTTGAAGAATTGCCGAGATATTCGTAACCGTAACGTTGCTGCGAGTTTATCATGTAAGCCCACATGCTTTCTTCCTGAAATGAATACACTCGGTACTTTCAAAGATACTAAGTAATTTTTAAATTTTCTTCTTTTGTTGAGGAAATAGGAAGCCTGACCAGCCAATAGTAACGCAAGTGGCACAACCATCTAAAATCGGTATTCTTCACCACTTGTTCTTTGTAAAGACTCGCGAGCACATCTTTTCCGTGAACGTCCAACGTAACCAACGCTTCTGAAATTGTAAATGTACATTTTACTTTTTATCTTGGAATTAACTATTATCATTTATCCTTAATGAAGAAATTTATAGAAATAAGCCAATTGTTTCTTGAAAAGAATATCAATCGTAGGTAGAACAGATTAAAAATTCGATAATCACCTAGAGTGATGCGATTCTGTTTCGATAATTTGCCTCTGATCAACGATATTATGTCATTCAGCTCCGTTTGACATTGTTCCAAGTATTTCTTCAACCCTTCAACATCGAACAACATCGATTCCTCTATACGCAGAGTCCAATACATTTTGCCAACGCAAAGGATCGTTTGACCTGGCCATTCCAGCACCCAAACCTTCCTCAATTTGATAGGATACGCCTGAATCGCTAGCATCACCTCTTTTCGTATACTTTTTCGCATAATCGTTTCCAATTCGATCAACCATTTCTCTACTTGTCCCCTGGCAGCAGCTGTGGATATCGTTTCTATTAGTTTAACTTCTTCGTCCTCTGTCGATATCATAGCGAGCACCTCGAGATCTTCGTCGAATTTTAATCGATGTATACCCTCGAAACATTTCTTCAAATGCGGCTGAACGCTAAGTAATACAGAGAGCAAGACGATTGTCAAAAAAGTTACGAAATTGCAAATACAAAAGAATTTGTAATAAAATAATAATAATAACAAATAATTAAATAATAATTTTATAATTATCTAGTTGTTATTTGATTGTTAAATAACAATAATAATTGAATAATTTATTAAATTTATATCACTTAAAAATTGTTTCTAAACGTTGATTGAACTCCGTCAATTAAATTACCGAGTTGGATCCTTAGTTTCAGAAAGAATTTCCAGCAGCTCGTCGTTAGACAGGAAAAAGAATCTCGGGAAGAAGAGTCGTTTCTTTTCGAGATACTCATTCAGACCCTTTTGAATGTCTTCGAGTAATCCGTAGCTCTTCTTTAGCCGCTCCAGCATTTTATCGATTTCGACGACCACGAAAATGCGAGGATCCGCGTGAACGGTCTTCATAATATCACGCCAAGTTTTGTCCACCGCGGAAAATTTTCTTCCTTCCTCTGGCATCTGTTGTTGGATATCCGGCGACGTGAAGATCGGCTCCAGGTACATCCAGACCGCCTGTACGCGTAGCCATTGGTCCAGAATATCTTGCAGCAAATGGAGTTTGTAATCCCATCGCCTGTTCATAACGTTAGACGACAGCTCATAAAAATATTTTATGTCCCAATTTTCCATAACAAGGCCTTAAACGAACTGTAGTATACAATATTCCTTAACACTGGAACTACTAGAGTTGTCACAGTGATTCATTCGCCAATTTTATAGATTTATTTCATGGGTTTTTGTTTTACTTTCTCCCTTATCAAGCAATATATGTATTTTCTTATATAATTTTGCAAATGAATGCAAATCCAAATGATTCACGACTATACCAATTACAAGGGCCAGACGTTTTTTTACAAGAGATATTAATCAGTTAAGAAATAGATAGATATAAAGGAAATAAATAAGAATTTATGAGAAAAGTGACAGAATATCTTTACTGTATAGTATTATAAATATCATATCATATAGTATTATAAATATGATATTATAAATATCTCATTACTACACTATAGTAGTTCTAGTGTTGATTTTCATCGATTTTCTTACAATATCCTTGTTTCGAAGGGTTTTATATTTGGTGAATTCTTGATAGTAACGGTCCTAATAATGTGATCGTCTAAAAGAAGCTGTATATCGTCGACACCAGCAATAACGTAGGTACCGGTATCCTTGAAAGGGTTCACAGTGAAGTACAAATCGGCCCAATCTCTCTCCATCTTATCCATGGCTTTTTCCAATGTAGCTTCCTTCGAAGCATTGTCCGAGATACTCTCAAACAGACTGACGTATCTGCCTAGATTCATATCCAGGATCTTCGCCAATGTTAAATCAGGATCGACTTTTATCGGGACGTTTATAATTTCCGAAATTTGTGTCCAATGGCGATCCTTTAATCCCGGATTACCAAGCGTGAAAATGATCGGCATGTGTTCCCTGAAGTCCTCGATTTTTTCCCGAACGCTGGCTGCTAGCTGCCTCAAAGCTGGCTGATGAAAACTTCTCTCCAGTTTATAAATCGTTCTGCTCGTGTAAACAATTTTCATTATTTAATGGAAAAATTAACATTTCGTTTTTATTACTGAATAACTGGTAAGAAATACTGAAGAGATAATCTTTAATTATAAAACGTTACTATCATATTGTGGATGTTTATGAACATTCATACTTTTATATCTGCTATTCTTAATTTGTAATTTCTTTCTTAAATAATTTGATAAAATTTACATACTATTATTACAAATCGACCAAAATTGAAAATGAATTTCATATATTTTTACACATATTATGTACAGTATTTACTCTTATATTCTTTGAATCTTTGGAAATGCATAAACATCCACAATCTAGTTACAATATAGAAAATATGTCTACCTGAACGCGTATCCTACGTCGTTGTCGATGTTCTCCGGATTATAACTACCGATCATGGAGTTTAACCATTTATCGTGCTTTGTCAAAAAATCACAAATTGCATCAAAGAGTTGCTTGAAAGGCTTCAGTTGATCAGCAATCTGCTTACGACGTGGATATTGCGTTATGTCCCAGCCAAACGAAGCTTCTTCTTCGTTAAATTTATCGATCTTGTCCATAGCGGCGATCAGTCGATTCTCTAAAGTCTGTGTCCTTTTCTGATACTTGTACACCTCTGCTATGTCTCCCCAATGTTCGATCTCGTCTACTTGTTTCGCGTAAGACTCCAATTCCTCTTTGAACTTAATATACCTAACTATTGAAGACAGAAACAATCGTCAATTTCTTCGAATAAATGTTTCTCCTTTTTCTTCTCCTTTTTTTTTTTTTTATTAAATTAATCAAGTTCGTTCAAATTCAAGCAAGTTGAAACTACTTTACATACGTGACTCGAAATATCTTTTCAAGTGACTCGTTTTCATTAGTGAAATCATTTGATTTCAAATTGCTTGAATTCAAGTAATCTGGACGAATATCTCTCAAACCTCTTAATGCCCGCTGAAATTCTAGCGTCTTAATCGCAACGATACTTTCGTTTTCTTCCAAAATATCGGGTACTTTATGGTACCACTGAAAAGCTTCGTTGTTCGTGATTATCTCGATGTCACTGAGAAGACGATAATCGGACAACAGCGAAATATGCTCGATTATTTGGTGGAGATTCTGCTCGAGAGTCTTTAAAGTAACTTCTCTGGTTATCTTAATGAAGCTTTTAAGCTCCATCAGTTCGGCCGTGTTGGCAGGCATGTTCAAGGCACGATCAGATATATTTTGATACTGCTCTGTAATTCTAAATCGCATGTGATATTATTGATCGTGAAATCAGAAATAAATTCATTGATGTTTGTTAAAGTAATTGAAGACTCACTTCCTGGCCATGTCTTGATACCTCTCGACAAGTGTGTCGGTGAGAAGACATTTTATACGATAAACATTATCGACGATTGTCTCGATGAATATTTTTCGAGACACCTTAAACAATCCAGTAAAAGTTGTCCTTTCAATTTCGACGGGAAAGTTCAGCATGAGATTGTGATAATATTTTATTAAATTGTTGTAGTCCTCTAACTTCTTGCTTTCATCTTTTACAAATCGTTCCACTATATAATATTCATCGTCGTTGTATAAGTGTTCGTATCTGTAATAAATGTACAAATAATAATAATATATTAATAATAATTAATAATATATATATATTAATATATATTATAATATATTAATAATAATTAATATATAATAATAATATATTAATAATAATTAATAATATATATATATATTAATAATAATTATCATTAAAAATAATCGAAATACTTGTCATGATACATATAATTGATTTGTAAATTAATATGTAATTTATTAAATAATAACGAGAATTGGAATTTATAATAAGAATTAGTGGTCCATAATTACATTTGTAATTCCATTAATATCTGCTCTGGAATAAGTCTTTCTCGATCAATTAAGTCAATAATTTCCTGCTTCAGTTGTTGCACTCTGAAGTGCTCTATGTGCGGCTATTTAAAAAAGAATTTTGGAATATGCATTCATATGTGTGTTAGATATATATCATATAAAAATATAACAAAGAAAATTTTATACTTTTAAAAATCCTTCTTCGCCAGACCAATCCAAATAAAGCTGAGTTTCTAATTTGTCGAAATATTTAACTGCTTCACATAATTTATCGAGGATACTGCAAAGCATCTCCTTAAATTTTTCAAACGATGGCTCAAAAGTCAATTGCTTGAAGCTAACAATTATGTCCACATTAAATTCACAATTAATCGGCTACAAGCAATAAACGATTATTACACGGTTTATTTTATTATTATATGTTTTGTTTGTTATAATTGCGGGTGTTTATTCATTTGTGAGAAATTTGCAACAATGCCTAGAACTTTAGTTTTATTTCTTTAAGTATGTTTATAAAATTGGAATAAATGAATTATAATTTGCATAAACGAATTATAAGTATACCTTTCCACGGATGATTAAATCCATAAAATCTTTCAAACTGTATTTACACATTAACAAAAGCTGCGATTCCATTATTTTAGCAACACATTCGTAGAATCTTTTGAATCGTATGCGTTGTAACGGACTAGGGACTAACGATTTTCTGTTATTCTATGAATAAATAATGTGATCATTAATTTTGTTTGTATTAGTGGGCATTAGAATAAAAATTTATAAAACTTTACCACGAGAAATATATCTTGTATTCCATCATACCAAACATTCTTCAATATATTCTTCTCTTTCATAATTTGCTTATTAATCATTTTGTTAAATTCTATTAAATCCCAACTTTCTGTATATTGGGCAATTTGTTCTAAATCGATCAATCGAAAATCGCTGAAAAAATAATGAATTCTTGTTTCAAAGCAGAAGCATAATAAATGAGTAGTTTTTTACCCATATTCGCCGACCCAATAATCTAAAGTCATCTTCATGCATGGGTTTATTAGAAATAAATTTTTCTGTAAATTTTCGCGGTATTCTCGAATCTTGACTTTTAAACCAGGTACAACATATTCCATGTGAAGCAACTTCCCATCATTTTCCTTTTGCTAAAAAGATATGTATTTTTATAAAATAAATATATCACATATAAAAAATACAACTGGAATTTCAATTGAACCTCGAATAAAGAATTTTCTACAGGATCTTGAAGTGCGTACTGCAATATTGCTTTTTTGATATTTCTTGTGTAAATATCTTTAATCTCGATCAGCAAATTTTCCGTGTAGTAAGTGAACCGAACTCTCAAATAATACGGAACTAAAAGTAATATCTTCTCTATAACGTTGTCCTGTATTTGTACTGTGTGAACAGTATCAATTCCATTACAAATATAATTATAGTATCGGTTCACATCTTCGTCGTTACTTAAATCTATATCTATATTCGGTAGTTCAGTTTTGACAATTAAGCTGACCACATATCTACAAATAAACGTTATTTCAAGCTCTAGTTTCTTTATTATAAGATTTTTCTTTACAATTTTCAAAAACTTGACAGAAATTCAAATGCTGACCTACGAAAGTTCTCTACTTTTAATCGTTTTCCTGTGTACGTGTCCTCAAATTTAGATTGCTTTCGTTTCTCCTGCAGTTTTTTACACTTAATGCATTCCATTAATTCTGGTGGCAATGAAAATAATGGCTCGATTTTTGTTGTTTCAGCCAGTTTTGATACCTTCGGAATATCTTTCGCGCGCTTTTTTTGAACCGTCGGACGAGAAATACCCTCGCACGATGTCACTTCCTCGCAGTCGCATTCCATGCTGGAACTACTTGCTATATGAGTGACTGAAATACTGAAAATACTCTGTGCTTGAAACATCATTTCACATATATTTGTACAATGAATATGTCACTTTGAGAAATTAAAAGTTGAATAATAAATATGTAAGGCAAAAAATTAACGTTTATCACTACCTTACAGCAGAATTTTGTATCAACACAGACGGCGCCACTTTCAGACCTAGTGGTAATAATTGTTTCACATTTTCGTATTTAAACTGTATACACGGTAAGTATATATTGCAAAATAATATTTCTTTTCAAAATATTAAAAGTTCAAAGAATAATATCACGATATAATATTTTTGACGCGTTAAAAATCTTTTTTTTCATGTGTTTAATGTTATAAAATTGTGCAATACGCTTTACTGCAATTGACTGTAGTTTCCAGGCAACGAAATTGATCGATTTGTAGGATTTATGAAAATTTCAAATGAGAATGTCCTTTTTAGATTATTTGATTATAATTGTTATTACATCTAAGTAGAAAATGATATAAAATGAAGTCGGTACATTTTTAGGTTAGGTGTTATTAATGCAGCATTTTTTCAATCTTCGTTTATGTGAAATAACATTAGTGGTATGTTTCAGATGTTTTCACGTCAATTTTTTCGTTCAATACATACAAATCATGTACTTTGTTATACATCAAAGAAAACGCTGTTAAGCAAATTACGTAAAAAAACTGGATATACATTCATAAATTGTAAAAAAGCCTTAGAGCTAAACGAGAATGATGTGGAAAAAGTAAGACAACCATTGAATTATTTAGGAACATTATTAATTTTTTGAATATTATAGGCTGAACAATGGCTAAAGGAGCAAGCCCAGGCTCAAGGTTGGTCTCAGGCAATGAAATTAAAATCCAGAGAAACTTCTCAAGGACTAATAGCAATGATAACTAATAACAATCATGGAGCACTTGTAGAAATTAATTGCGAGACAGATTTCGTTGCAAGGAATAAAAAATTTCATGATCTAGCACAGATCATACTTGATACTGTATTAAAACACAGTATGACGATTGAACAGGATTCATTGGTCAAAAAAACTGTATTATCTACAGAATTAATAAATAACCTACATGCCAATGATGGCAAAAATTTGAGTGATCATTCTGCTTTAACTATTGGATTTATAGGAGAGAACATTAGTATAAGGCGTGCATTGTGCATGAGTGTACAACCAGGTGCACATCTATATGGTTGCACACATCCTACACCTATAAACCCAGTACCTTCATCATTTGGGCGATATGGAGCATTGGTAGCCTTAAAGTCTAACGAAGATAAAAAAGTTTTGGGAATGCAACTTTGTCAACACATTATTGGTATTTATATTTATCTTTGAATTAATCTATTATTTTTTGTATAAATATATGTTTGTAACAATATTTCTTTTAAAATTAGGCATGAACCCAACCAAAGTTGGTGATCCAAAAGTCGATCTACCTAATGATAATATAGAAGAGGAACCTGTTATGCTATACCAAGAGTTTTTGTTTAATCCTGCTTCATCTATACAGGAATTATTACAAAGCGAACAAGCTGAAGTCTTAGATTTCGTACGTTTTGAAATGGGCGAAACGCTTGAAAACAGACAAGAATTGAATTCTGTAGAAACTTGCGGTTAAAGCAATTGGTATTCATTTAATAAATTTATGTATTTATTATACATTTTGTATATACTTTAAAGAAAAATATGGCAGTAATATAAACATTTTGCTAATCCATTATTATTATATAGATAAAATACGTACAATTATTGCATTTCTTTATTACACATGAATTGCTATAACGGAGTTATAACGGATGAAAATTGTATTGTAGAAAAACTAAAGTATTTTATTAATAAAATTATTCTTCGATGATACATAAACTTATCGAAAAGTATATTCGATTTAAAGTAATACTATGAACGGTAAAACAGTTGTTTAAATGTAGAAAACTTTACATCTGAAATTGTAGATAATATCCAAATTATTTTTCTTCATTTTCTTTATTTGCTGAACATACGTTAGATGATTTTAATTTATTCCTTTTTCGCATGAGTTTCACAGATTTCCAAAGCCACATTCGTGAATCTTTTTTCCAGTAACGAGCGATATCTTCTGGCGAATGCATAACACCCTGAATAAAGTATTCAATTTTATAAATAATACAACATCATATATCAAACTTTACAAATCATACTTGAAAATTCAAGATATCTGAATGTTGAGCAGATTTTCTATAGGGTAAAATATCTCTGGCGTTTAAGCCAAATAATTCTTGATTAATATCATCGGAAGGATCAGTTTGCGCATCGCTTGTTCGTCGAAGCGGTATCGTATCATTTCCAGACTCAATTTCCGCCTCTAATTCCAAACGTTCAAGGGCCGATGTAAAGCTCCTTGACTCTTTACAATTCCCAACATTCGCCTATTTCGAAACTTTGAATTTTCATAAAAAAAGTAATAATTTATACTGTATCGCAAATAAAAAAATTCTTTGACGTTGAATAAATTGTGTAAACCTGTACTCCTTGAGAGCAAACGTTACATCCTAACGTCACTGACAAACATATGTCGCTCATAGTCTTGGACAAAAAATTTCTCTCATCCCATGCGAAATTTTCAACTACTCACAAAAGAAAAGACGCGGTTTAATATCGATGGAACCAAGAAATTCACGACATGCGACAAAACAGTCACAAACCGCTTGAATGGTCGGACTCGTCATTTCTCCAGTCCATCGGCTTCTTATCGCGTCATATAAAATTATTAAATTACAATTATCGTATATAAAAAATTTCGAAAGTTTCTCTTCTATCCTTTAAAATCGACTGACATGTACCGATTCCATCCCTATCATCATCCCTAGCATGGAAAAACAACATCTTTCGGTAACATTATAATAAATGAGCAACTTTCAAACTCACGCGACTTCAATATGAATATTAGGCGGCAATGGATTATAATAATCTGAACTTTCTCATTGATAGATACAACAAATTTTGAGTTAAATTGTTATTCGCAAATTGCAGGAACTTTTAGAAGCAGTAGGATCTCATTATGAATGAAGTTACATACTCATATTTAAAAAACTTATGATGAGTTTATATTTTTTCAAGTGTAAGTGTATTATAGCCAATAGTATTATATTCGTTCATTGTTAAAAAAAAAAAAATTAAAACTTGATTCTCTGTACTAAATAGGTGATATCATCCTTGATAAAGAACCGCATTCCTGGACACTCTTGATCTTTCGTGAAACGCTGTACTACAAGATAATCGTCAACGTTATTCGAACGAAGACAACCAAGAAAAAAAGAATACGATAGGGGACCTTCAACATGTCAGAATGACGTTAGAAAGGTATAGAACAGGTGCGCTGAAGCGAGATGTGTATGCCATAGAGGCGATGCCCGCATGGTTGAAACATATATTCAGCAACTACTCGTTGGTCACGGCTGGCCGGCCGGGGTTCCGGGCCGACTTCCGGACGAGTCCGCACCGGTACGGTTTCTTTTTAGCGAGGAACGCATGGTATCGGTTGTGTTCACGTACAGTTAGACGGTGTTACCTCGTAGGAAACGCCTTCTCTCCTGCTTCTTCGCGCATATCGCAGCAGATTCGTTCGTATACACTCCTTTAAATGACGTGACAGAAAAAACGGGGAAAGAAGAACGATGGACTTCTCCAGACGGGTGAGTCTACAGAGAAACTATGCGAAACCAAAGACGCGAGACTAATCGAGACGGTTCTGACAGATAAGAATAAGCGATCGTTCGTTCCTTGCCAACGAAATATTCGAGCAATATTTTATAATTCCTTAGCTTAGCTTAGCAGCGAAATGCTATTACTGCTTAAACAGAAAATGAAACGAAGGGAAGAATTTTTTTTTCCACACCGATAAAGCCAAACGGTAACAGATTATTTATATTTCATGTCTCATTATTGCTTTTCATCTTGCATCGTTCCAACTGCATAGAATAATACTTTATTTATAATTCCACGAATGAACAGGAAAATGTTACACGCCGTGTTACCGCTAAACGAAGGAAAGAATTTTTCCGCGCTATAAATCCGGTGAAACAAACGTCAAGTTGGACAGCAACAAATTTTTACTTCCTCGCGAAACAGCCTTACTTCGTGGTAGATCGACCATGCACAGGTCGGTGGGCGTGCAGCAAGTGCAGTCACCACTTCCTGCCACAAATGATCGTCGCGGACGACGCTCGAATAACACGTGTACATATGTACCGTTCGTAACGTATGTACATGTGCGCGGGCGTGGACATGAATGAACGTGGAGATGCATCTGCAAAGACAATAGCGTGGCTGTATACGTGCGAACGCTGCACTTTGCATCACCTACACCAACGTGTAAGTTAGCGCATTAACGGCAATCGGCGCACACCCGGGGATAGCGGCGTGTTACCTCATCGGTGTTGAAATACATTGTACCCAAGACAGAACAATGTGGACGGTCTATGGAAAGCGTAGAAACAATTAACAAATCAGTCGCAAGCGGTGAAAAATTGTTCGTGTCGGGACAAAACAGTTGGGCGAGAGAAGAGCGCAAGGGAAACGAATTGAAATAATCTATGATGGAATCTGTAACTTAGTCCTATGAGTAGTGTCTCGTAATTTAATTTATGCGTATTTATGCGAAAGTTTCAAACGAAAATTTTTGTTAAAGAACTTTGTTATAAACACAATTGTCACAATTTGTTTCGCTCTTTTCATTAAAAAATTTCATTGCATGTCTATGAGTTTTCTTAAAGTCAATTAAAATCATAGGATAATGATAAAATAATAATAGAAAATATATACATCATTCGTCACCTATGTTTAAACTCTATAACCAGAGAAATAAATACGTTTCGCTATCAATGTCTCGGCACTCGCGTTTTATTTGAAATTTGAGAAATCAAAATTTTGAATAACGAGAAGAAGATCAATTATTAAAACAACGTGGTCCTTCTCTAGAAAACTCCGCAGTTATTCATCCTCATCGTTCATTAAATATCAAAGCTATAATATGAATATTCTTCGTGCTACAAACTGTGCCATCGCGTCTAGTTGCGTTATTTCTACAAATACAGAAACAATATGTGTACATCCGTCTCTCTGTAACACTTATTAATGCTTACGTCCTGCTTCCAGTAGAAACACCATCCGCCGTGAAAAGAATACGGCAATTAATTTCTAATAAAAATTTCGCCAGCTACATTAATATTTCTTTCGGCCGTTCAATTGTAGTGGTAAACACATAGGAAAGCAGGTTTACATAGCCGCGTGTACGAGCATACATACGCACGATTGCGGATCACCTGCGATTAAGTCCTTCCGAGGACCTCGCTCCCGTGAGTTCTCATACCCCAGTTTTCTGCCAGCAACCGTTCAGTACGAGCACTGATCGCGTTTCTCCGTTGCGAAATTCAGCCGCGTATCGTGATTCCGAGTTCCGAGATCAGGAACGTTCAAACAAGTGCTCGATCAATTTCAAA